CTACTGTAATGCTAGAAGTATGTGAAATAAAATATATGACTTTAGAGCACTAGTAGGAATGGAGGATTTTGACATAATGGGAATAACTGATACATGGTTAAACATTGATGATTTTGAAGAAAGAAATTTCTTTAAAATACAGGGTTACAGGCTATTTAATAGGGATACAGTATTAAAGAGGGGCGGAGTGGCTTTATATGTAAAATGTGAGTTACATCCTGTTGAAGTTGAGAATATCAAAGATAACAGCAAGGAGATTGAATCCATTTGGTTTTCTATTAGTGGACATAAAGGGAAAAGGCTTTTAGTGGGAATTTGTTACAAACCATCAAACGATACTGATGAAATTAGTGAGAAACTTTACAATGAGCTTAAGATTTCAGCTGTTAATGAAGTCATAATTGTAATTATAATTTCAGGTATATAGATTGGGAAATGCTGGAGTTGAACCATGAGGGAGAAAGGTTTATGGAAACTGTTGAAGATGGGTTTCTTCACCAATTAGTCAGGAACCTACTAGAAATAATGCTATTTTAGGTTTATTGTTAACTTCAAATATAGAAATGATAGAGGGTGGAAGTCATCATTACTCTATTAGGTTCAATGTTTTGTTGCATAAGGAGATAAGGAATAATGATATATTGGATACACATTTCAAAAAAGCAAATTTTGAAGGGATGCAACAAGAATTATCTGTTGTGAATTGGGCAGCTGAATTATTTGGAGACACTGATCGGATGTGGAAATTTTTTAAATATTCAAGGTAAACATATTGCTTATAGAAAGAAAAGGGTAGCTACAAGCAAAAAACCTAGTTAGCTCACAAAGAGTTTAAGAGATAAAAATAAAGAAAAACATCATTGATTTAAGAAATTTAAATTGACTGGTTGGTATGACAGGAGATTTGGAAGATCAAGAAATTTGGTGAAACTGGAAATTAGGACATCAAAAACAAAGATTGGCTGAAAGTGCAAAAATTAATAGTAAGGATTTCTAAAACGTATATTAAGGGTGAACAAAATGTTAGGATGGGGGTAGGACCCTTAAGGGATGATAAAGAAGGGCTCATATTTGATGATTATGAGATGGCTGGGTTATTAAATTTTGCTTTTTCTTCAGTTTTTACTAACAAGAATATAAGCAGTATTCCACATATTGAACAGTTGAAAAATGGAAACGAGATCGAATAAGATGACTGTATTAATTCTGAGCTGGTTAAGAAACAATTGGGAAGTTTAGAGAACAATAAGACTCTTGGGCCAGATAATATTTCCCCAAAGGTTTTGAAAGACATTAAAGATTGGATATGTAAGCCACTTGCTGCTATTTTTTGTCAGTCCTTGAATAGTGGGCAGGTACCAGAGGATTGGAAGTTAGCTAATGTAACTTCTCTTTTGAAGGGAGGTGATAAAAATTGTCCCAGCAATTATAGACCCATTAGTCTTACATCAGTTGTGGGAAAAAGTTTTGGAAAGTCTGTTAAAAGATACATTGCAAAGTCAATTA